CACCAGAAGCCGTCACGCTACCACTATGCCATCCTAGCCTCAATGGACAGTTTTCGAAAACTGATATTTAAGTTGCATATACATTTGAAGAAAAATATTTTCTTGGATCAAGAACACCGGCATTGTGTTAAGTAAAAAAAAGTTTCAAAGCAAATAAATAAAATGATTCGATTCAAGAAACACGAATTCTCCAGACAATACTTTATTATTTCGCTTAAGAACATGATATTCTAGATTCAATACTTTTTGGTACTTCGGAAAAGTAAAATATTTGGTTGAAATAATTACATATTGAGTTCTGCCAAATACTAAATTGTTAATTCAAGAATTCTGTTCAATGCTAATATTTACTTGACACAAGAAAATGAATTTCTTTCTTCAAATAAATATGGGATTAATTGAATGTAATTTTTAATCAACTTGAAACAAATATTTACTTATATTAACCTTCGTATTTTCTTGAATCAGGATTATATGAGCGTTGAATTAAGTAAAAACTTTTTTAAAGGAAACAAAAGAATGATTTAATTCAAGATCTTACACTTAATTGAATTGAATAAATAAAATATTTCATTCCAGAAAATATAACATTCTCGCAAGAAATTAATGATTTTGAAACATGAGAATATAGAAATGCTTCAAGTAAAAGAAATGCTTAGATTAATTAATATTTCTTTGAAACAAAATAATTTTTAATTGAGTTGAAACAATTATTAACTTGTATTAATCTTCCCATTTGCTTGGCTCAAGACTATGGGTGTTGGATGAAATAAATAGTTGCTTTAAAGGAAATAAAAAAATTATTTGACTCAAGATACCAAATGACTCAAGGTAAATTACTTGACGTGAGAACATGATATTCTTGATTCAATACTTTTTCGAGACTTGGCGCATGTAAAACAGTTCGTTTGAAACAGTAAGATATTTACTTATGTCAAACCCATATTTTCTTATTTCAATAACTTTGATCAATGCTCAAAATTACTTGACACAAGAAAATAAATTTCTTCTAATAAGAAAATATGGGTTTGTTTCAAATAAATCAGGTCAAGAAAATGCATTTACTTGATTCAATGAACTTTTTTTTTCAGTGTAGGGGAGGGTAGGCTACATTGAACCGGGTATTTTATAAAGTCCAAGAACTAATTAAGGGGTTACGCCACCCTGAACGCATGAAAATCGGATGGTTTTTTAGGAATTTTTTTGATAAAACTGTTTCAGGTAGGACTTCTTTACATTTATTGATGCTTTAGTACATATATTGAGCTTTATAAATATTTAAAAAAAAATTGTTTTTAATTAAAAATGGCGGAGATATAACTATTGGCGTGGATCAATTTTTCCGGAGCACTCCTTGATGGTGTACATGATTGGCAGTTCAATTTTTGTCAGAAACAAGTAAAACAATATTTTTCTTAAAAAGTGATAAATTTTGAACAGAGTGACGAAGCCATTTTAAAAAAAAAATTTTTTTACGCAAATGGAAGCACTTCAAAAATTGACATTTTTTTTTTGGCTAAAATTACCGTATAAAAAATTGGATAAAAAATTTTCAAATTATTCAATCAAAAAAATCCCACGTCACTCTGTGGAAAATCTATTTAGGAAGATGTATATTAATTTTCAAGTCAATCGATTGAATAGTTTTTGAGTTATCGTGTACACCGTCTCGAAAATTGTGGTTTCGAGAAAAACGCAAAAGAAGAAAAAAATGAACTTTAGTGTATTATAACTTGAAAATTTTTCAATTTACTATTTAATCAGCAATTCCTGGGCCATAATTTTTTTTATTTAAGAATGGAAGGGATACAATGAAAAGGACCCTTCCTAAATCATGAAAGGGCCCCCTAGACCATTCGAAAATAGAAAGTCGCTGCTTCCAGCAGCTCTCGGCGCGTCCCCACCGCGCTGACTTCTAATGACCATAACTTTTGTAATTAGTGAGACATTGTCTTCGGCGACATCTCAAAATATTCGTTAGAATATAAACTTTGAAATTAAGCAAAAAAAAAAAATAAATTTTTTTGAAAATTTCAGGGTGGCGTAACCCCTTAAATTTTACTAATTTCGATCAGGTTTTTGTATCAAAATTAAGCTGAAGTACTCCTTTAGTTAATACACACGTTACAAACACAAATTATTATCATTAAATAATTAAATTTAATTTTTTTCTAGCCAGTTACACTTTTCTTATTTTGAAGAATGTGTGTCTACATTGAACCACCTGTAATAAAACACTACAATTTACTTCAAAAATAATATTTCCACTTACACATTGTAAAAAATCTTATTTTCCACTCAAAAAAATAGAAAATTGTTATTTAATTGTTATTACTTGTTAATATAGGAGATTAATGTATTTTAATGTCAGGTTAGTTAGGTAAAGTGACAGTTTGAGTTTTTCTCGTTCACAATTGTGATGAAAGCATGTCTTCCAGTATTTTTCTTACTAATTAGTAGAGCAGACAATTTTACAACTCTTAAAATTGAAAATTCTTTGCTTTTTCGGGTGGTTCAATGATGCCGCACTCACTGTATTCACATGACATTCACAACAAAAATTGTTTATAATAAATTTGTGTAAGATTTTTTCTTTATCACATCGGAATATTGAAGTTGACACCCTAAGCGAAATAAATAGCAAGTTTACTAATTTTTAAAACTTCCTACTTCAATAAAAAAACGTCATTATAATTCCACCAAATTTTTTGTTTTGTACGTGAAAAACAGTTTTTTTAGTTTTTCTTTGTAAATAATAAACCTACGTACCCGAAATTTTTGGACATAGTTTGTTTCAGTAAAACTAACTTATATATTAAATAAGAAAAAATTTCACTCAGTCATTTCTCAGAAAATTGAAGTGGTTCACTGTTGACGCTGGTTCAATGTAGCCTACTCTCCCCTATTATAATAATTACTAATAGTGGATGTTTATTAAATTACAAATTTTTAACGTTTCGAATTTTTCGTATCTAATTTTATTATTCTTTAAGCTTCTTAAAAAAATTAAAAACTAAATTTTTCACTATATAATTTAATAGTAATACCTTTTTTGACTTTATAAAAGTTTCATCAAGTATAGAAAAAATCAATTAAGAATGAAAACTTAATTCTTTTGGTTATATAAATTGTTTGATTGAAAATCCAAAATAATATTTATTTAACGTGATTATTTATTATATTATGTTTACAAACTTTATGTCAAATTTAAAAATATTAATTGTATTTTCAATAATACAGTGTTTTAAGTCGGTTGCTCAATAATAAAAAATCATTTATAAAGATTTAAGATCTATCTAGAAAAAAAATTATAATTTTTTTTATTGGAATTAAATTGCTCATAATTTATTATTGTACAAAATTATGGCTATGTGGATTCTAAAATTTAAAAAATTTATATTACTAAAAACAATCCATTTTTTTCATTTTGATATCTGTTATTAGTAAATTACTAAAAAATGTTTACGTTTCATTTTTAAAAATTATGTAGATGGCTGATAAAAAGTTATTGATAGTTTTTTAAAAAATAATAAGGAGAAAGAAGGTGTCAATTTAACTTCTCAATATTATGAGCCTGTTATTAAAAAACAAATTCTTATGAAAGATCTCATTTCAGTATTATTAACAATTACATTTCATTATGTAAATAAAACTTTCCAATGTAAAATATCGACAAAAAAGCTATTATATTTTCATGTTTTATGTTTATAAATCAAAATTAAAAAAAAATTTGTGAATTTCTATTTTTAGTATTTTTTTCTTTCAATTTTTTGGACAACAACATATATTCACTTAATTTTCTTACTTAAAAAACTAATTTTACTTCATTTTTAATATGCTACTTTTTGCTACTTTTTCAATTTAGAGGACACTTTTTTCTTCCAAAATGCTACTTTTTCACACTTTTTTTGACCTGCTACTAGACTTCGAAGCCTGTAACTGGTTTATTTTTACTCCCTGAAGAGGAAATCGTTAAGATTTCGAAACGTTGGAGAAAAAATGTACAATAATATTTGGTCCGAATGAATTCGTTTTTATTTACCTTATGTTTTAATTTTTTTCCATTTTTGGAATGTAAAAAAAATTTTTTTAAAAATGACGATTTCGGGAGAGATGAAATTGTCCATATGAGTTAAAACTCAGGTTTATTTTTCTAATTGAAAAATTTCTAATTTTGTAAATATCTTAACAACAAGCTAGTCGGACAAATTAAAAAAAACATACATTGAACGTAGCGCTAAAAAATCTCGCGTTGCGAGTTCATAAACGAGGCGCATGAATTCTTCCCAAAAGACATTTGATCACCTGGTCACCGGGTAGAATTGCATTTGATAGAATGGACATTAGATCGAAAATTCAACAGATAGAAAAGTCACTAGATAGAATGGACATTTGATCGAAAAGTCGAGTAGGTTATAAACCTTGCAGCAACATTAAAATCTTGCTGCAAGGTTTAAAACCTATTCGATTAAATGATTTTTCGATCAAATGACTTTTCTATCTATTAACTGTTCGATCTATTAGACGATAACCCATAAAATTAAAACTACTTTTGGCCGACCATTTTTCGAGATATAGCTCGTGTACCATCTCTCCCGGAATTAACTTAACAATAGCATTTTATGGAATATTTAAATTATTTTCTTGATATAGCTAAAAATATCGATGTACACACTAAAAAAAAGTTTTACTTTCAGCTTCTTTTTGAGGCTGAATTTAAGGTGTAAACGGAGTCAGCCCCGTTAAACAAGGACAGACTTATGTGAAATACATGGGCTGAATTTAAGGTGTAAACGGAGTCAGACTTTTTTTTTCCTATGTACGTTAAAAATGTACCTTAAAAACGTTTTTAATTTTGCTACTCTATTCATTTCAAATTCAGGTGCATAATTATAACTAACAATAAGCGAGAAATACATTACTTACGTGTTTCTTTACATTTCATGTACTAATAATTGTAAAGCTCGTATATTAAATTTAATTTATTGTAAATTTTCAAGGTAAACGAGATCTCTTGGAATAAAGACTCTGATACATTTTACTTGACCAATGGACAAGGTTGTGTACACATATTAAGTTACCCAGATTTGGAATTGCTACATGTGATCAAAGCCCACCCAGGAACTTGTATTTGTATCGAGTTCGATCCTACTGGACGATATTTTGCTACAGGATCAGCCGATGCACTTGTGTCTCTTTGGGATGCAGAAGAATTGTGCTGTTTGAGAACTTTTTCAAGGCTGGAATGGCCAGTGAGAACAATTTCCTTCTCCTATGATGGAATGCTCCTTGCTGCAGCTTCTGAGGATCTTGTCATTGACGTTGGCGAAGTTGAATCAGGGGAGAAAATAACTGATATTCCTGTAGAGGCTGCAACATTTACTGTAGCATGGCATCCCAAACAGTATTTATTAGCTTACGCTTGTGATGATAAGGACACGTATGACAGGAAAAGAGACGCCGGAAGTTTAAAAGTATTTGGTTTTCCAAATGAATAATTATGTGACACTAGTATGAGAATTTAACTATAAGACGAATAAAATTTATAATTAAGAATATTGTGAAAATACAAATTTATAAAAAAGATCTACTGTTTCCATTTAACACTTTTTTGTTTTTTCAAAAGAATTACATTACTTTCTTTATGATTGCACATGACAAATATTTGTTTGAATTTCATTATGAATTCGTATGTTGCTATGGAATCTTTTCGAACTAAAATTTTTGCAAATTTCATACGAATTGTTAGTGAAATTGTTGTCCTTTAAATAGTTGTAGAATTTATCACTCGGTAAAAGACAATATAAAATATCAAGAAAATTATTAATTCCCCAATCCAAGTCAAATATTAAAATAAAGATAATACATTTATATTTATAAATTTAGTCAGTCAACTTAAGCCGGTCGGGTTAATCGCACAAATTTTTAAATATCAAATTATTTTACGGTAAATTTATATTTGTTAATTATGTTTTATAATTTATTTTATAATTTATATATTTCTCATTTTAATAAACATTTTTCAGTATTCTGATGAGGACAGCAGGGCTGTCAAAACGTTAAAATTGTGTTTTTTATTTTAATATTTGACTTGGAGGATTGATAATTTTCTCGATATTGTATATGGGTAGTTCTACAAACGAGGGAATATATGATGTCCAAGGTTGTTTTTTACATTAATTTTGAAAAAAATAAAATTATTTTCAATGGGAACTGTAGTGCTTATTGATTACTATTATGTTACAAAACGTTGCCCGGTTTCAAAAAATATTTTTTGCAAAAAATAAGCATTCAAGTGCTGAATTCATAGTTTCTTGGCATGTCCCAATGTGAAAATGAAAGTTAGTAAATTATATAAATATTATTTTTAAGCGATTAAATACAAATTTACACTTGGATAATAATTTCAAATAGTTGTACTTTACAAAGATTAAAATAATTGTTACATTACTTGATATTTTATTTAAAAAATATTATCTTGAATTTTGTCCATCGAATTAATTCTCAGTTTCTTGGCATCATAAAAAACGTTAAAAATATTAAGAATTTTCATTCCGATTAATTCACCATTTTTCACAGTGCTTAGTAAAGGTTAACTAAATATGATATCACTTGTATTTTACTTAACTTGCAGTTCAATTAACTAAAATTGTGTACTTTGTGACCGAAATGGCCATTTGATCAGAAAAATTCTCAGTTTCCTGGCACGCATTTTTAAAAAAAATATTTTATGTTTTTATACTTTTGTTGCTCGAGGTGTCGTAGAACCTTATTCCCTGTTGACCAGTATGCTTTATTTTGTTATTAAGCGTTATTTTTCAATTTTTTAGGCGAAAAATGACCAAATTCTCAGTTTTCTGGCACTTTCTGACAGAATACACATGTGCTTAAGATGTAAAATTTACAATTTTTATTTTTTTGACTGGCCACTTTTAGGTAACTTCGATAATACTTTTAACTTGAATTTAACATACTTTTTAAAACCTGAACGTAAAAAAAATATTGTGCCAAAATTTTCTTAATTTTCGTCCTTCGTTTGTAGAACTACCCATATGTTATCCTTTAAATTTTACACTTAATTCTGTATGAGTATTTGTATGGAGTTTTGTACGAATTTTTTAGTGAAAAATTTGTCTCTGGATAAAAAAAATTAACACGGATTTTTAGACAGGAATTCATGTAAAAGTAACCTTTTTAAAAACATGAAAAATAATACAAATTTGATATCCGTTTTTTATTATCTCTTTAAGTTAAAGAGACAAGAGAATTTTTCTCACAAAAAAATCCGTCCTCTGAAAAAAAGCAAGCAGATTTTTTGAATAATTAAATTAAATGATTTCTGATTTCTCGTAGGGATATCCAGTCAAATTTTGCAAGCTATTTCAGGGAAATGTCAGAATTTTATCAAAAGCACTGTAAAAATATTACATTACCAAAATTACTATGAAAATTCTGATTTTTAAGTCCAAAAATATTATAATAAAAGTCCGTTTTTAAAAATAAAAGTCCGTAAAGTCCGTAATTTGATTCAAAAAGGATGAAAAGTTCGTAAATTGTACGATATAATTTAAAAAATTTTAAAGAAATTACAAATGATTCAATTATTTCAGAAATCAAATTGATTCAGAAATTCAATTATTTTCAAAAGTAATAAAATTCTTCACAGAAATTCAATTATGTTTAAAATTTTTTTTAAATTCTCATCAAAATTTCAATTATTTTCAAAAATTTTCCTCAATTCAATGATTTTCAATATCTGCGGTAGTGTAAATTTTTAAAAATAATTTAATTTTGAAATTAATTTTTTTGAAAAAGTTTAATTGAATTTTTTTAATATTATTTAAAGTTTTTATTTTCTAATACTTATTTAATTGAAGAATTTATGAATAATTTAAATTTCGTAAAATTGAATATTGTAAACAAATGGATTTGAAAATTGTTAAAAAAATTTTTTCGAAAATTATTAAAAATACCGTCAACCGGGGCTATTTTGTGCACCAAATAGCTTTTTTTTGATTCAAAGATTTATTTAAATTCAGAATTAAGAGAATAAAAAAAATCAACTTTTGATATATGTTGTGGACATCCTTCTGAAGGTTTCCTATAAATTTTGCAAAGAAAAAAATTTTTTTGTCTTAGTTATAGTCATTGAAAGTCGTGAACACAATAACTCCCGGGATGGGGCTATTTTGTGCATCGAACTTTGTTTTTCTATAATGTTGCGTAAACAATTTTTTTAATCGTTTCTGCTTCATGAAATCTTTTGTGTATATATTTGAGAGTAAATTAAAAAAAGAATGACCTAGTAAAATTTTTTTTGTAGATATATTATACAAAAAATGTAAAATAAAGCACTAAAATTTTGCTAAAATCTGGATTTACTAAAAATTAACAATCTTTCTTTAAATTGTATATTACGCAGATAGTAAATAAAATTTTTTTCTTTTTTAATATATATTTTATAATAATATACTAATATAATTATAAAATGATCGTTTAAACACTTATAAATAACTTTAAAACATCATTTCAATAGGAGCTTTTTTAATGGTTTTGAATGATATTTTTAAAAAACTTGAAATAAATATTTTTAAGGTTAAATAGATAACATATTAATATCTAATATGACTTTCAAGTTATTTTAAGAGAAACGAGAAAATAGTTTTAAAACTAATTTTAAAAACTTATAAATATTAGTTAAAGTTCATTTTTTGAGGTTACGTTGTGCACCGGTAGAGCTTTTAATCGTTTTAATGATTTTAATTAACGTATTTACAGTTTTTTGACAGAAAAGTAAGACAAAAATGTATTAAAATGATAAACAGAATCTTCTTTACTTACTAAATAAAATATTTATGAAAAATATTTGATTTTTTTAAGTGCACAAAATAGCCCCATGGAATCCTGGTTTTTCAGTTTTTTCCACTTTTCTCTTAAAATAATGAATAAAAAGTTAGCGCATTACGTAAGTATCATCATAACACAATTGAAAACAAATATCTAACACAGTTTATGAGACACATTAAAACTCTAGAAGATCTGGTATAATTTTTCCGAACTTTCAAAATTTTTTAAACAAATTTTCCGTTTTTAGGAATTTTTTTCTCTTAATTGCCAAAGAATTAAATAATAACATTTAGTGCTCTCTATTGTCATGTAATCCAACTTTCATTTAACAAAATAGCAGATTAAAATAATTCATTTTAATAATTTTTTTCATTAAAAAACTCGCGTGCACAAAATAGCCCCCGGATGCACAAAATAGCCCCAGTTGACGGTAACCGATTTAAAGAAGAATTTTAGTTAAAAATTCTTGTAAATAATAATTGATTTGTAAATGATTTTATCACTCGGTCATCTTTAATTATAATAAAACATGAAGAAACCGATCACGATGTTTTCATGTTTTATAGTTATGAAAAATTGAATTTATATAGTTTTAAGTAAAATGTTCTCTTATTTGACTCGGACTGGTTATATTTTTGTCAGTAATTGGTCCGTAAATGGTCGATAATTTTTCATTTTTGGTCCGTAAAATCCGTACTTTTAAATACTTTCACTGGTTCGAGTCCTGTATTATTAAAAACTTAGTTTTTGAATTCTCCTTAAAATTTTTCACCTCAAAAACTTTTGAACCACAATTATTTAACGCATAATAGTAGCGATTTCAGATAGCAGACAAGAAAGAGTCATAGCTTCTTATTTGACAAAGTAAGTAGTAAATATAATGAACGTAAAGAAATAAACAAGAAATAATTTTTTTTCAATTTTGATCCATAATTAACAACACAAAAGTCAATTTGTTAAATTAAAGAAAATTTCAGCATTATACAGAAAAACCGATTTAATATATACTTCTTACACTATTAATAAGCTGTGAGTTATATTTTACATTTGAAGATAGTGCACTTTTCTTGATGTGATTGTAATTTAGTCGTTCTCTTTCCTTAAAAATGAAAGCAGAAATATTTTCATTCTTATCGGTTGCTTTTTTAAACTTTTCTTCAAGAACAACAACTTGCGAATAATTATCATTTTGAAGTAAACGAAGTTTAACGTCATCATATTGTTTTAACAGAAGTTCTAATTTATTCACAGCGTTTGGAAGATGTTCTTTAAGTTGATTCCTCTCATCTAAAAGTTCAATATTTGACTCTTTTAATTTTACTTTAAGACTATCCAAATCACCTAAAACCATTAACTCCCTGTTATATTTTTCAATATTTTGTTTACTTTGAAATAATTCTGTTCTCAATTGTTTATTAAAGTTTCTTATTTTTAGTAATATACTGTTCAATCGAAAGAATTCCTTCTCCATGCTCTTTAGGTTCAGGTCATTATTTATATTATTAAATTCGGTATATGTGCTGTTTAAAACTTCTAATTTTCTGTTCTCTGACAGTTCTAATTCACCATCAATTTCCCTTGATAAATGCTCTAAACAACTGGTCACACTGTCAGTTAATTCCTTAAATTTCTTTAATTCAACCGTTTCATTTTCTTTAAAAGAGGCCATAAATTCTTCCATTACTTCCTCTCTTTTACGAAGTTCCTTATATTTAACCAATTTTTCTGACAAAGATGCATCAACATTACTATCCAATTGTTCAATCTCCTGCTCTATCTCCATTATTCGTTTTTTCGCTGCTGTAATATGACGTTCAGATACAGTTATATCAGTGTTGTCTTGTTTGACTTTCTGAAAAAGACTTTTTTTCTCTTCTTCTGGCGAAAGCCTTTTTTTATCCTCTTCTCGTAATGTGTTTCTCTTTTTTGAAATCTCCATTATTTTTGACTGTAACTTTACGGCTTCTTGCTTTATTTGCGACAGCGCTATATTTTCTTCTAGAATTAATTTTTTTGATGATAAATTGTCCAAAGTATACTGCATTTCGTCAACGTGTTTTTGAAGTTTAATTTTTTGTTCGCAGAGTTCATTGTATTTTTTTAAAACTATTTGATTCATGTTTTCTACTATTTTTTCAGTATTCGACCTTTCTGCGACAACAGCCTTTTCAAGTGTAAGTAAATGCTTTTCTTTTCTTTGCCGTTTATTGAACATTGTCTCTATTTCAGATAAAGCAATATCATTAATTTGAGAAAGTTCAGTGGCTTCTTGTTCAATAAAACTTTTTCCAGTATCTACTGTCATTTTGTCAACAACAATATTGTAGTCAGCTAATTGACTTTGAAGTTCAATTAATTCTGATGCAAGTCCCTTTGCTCTTTGATCATAATGCAGGAACGTCACTCTTTGTTTGACTTGTAAATCTACTTCTTTAGAAATATTTGATATTTCTTGTACCAGCTCTCTTATCTTAAGTTGTACAAGTCCTTCATAGTAACGTTTATCTTGTATTTGTCTAAAATTTAAACCATGGGAAATGTATTAATATACTAAATGAAAAAATGTCATAACACTTTCTAGGGAATGATTATATACATTATTATTTTTTTAATGTAAAGAAAATGTTCGTTAAATGATGGACTGAAAAAATAACTTAACGTGATACGCAGTTCTAAAGTAAGGCACCTACGGCTGTGCAATACATTTTTTGAGCCTCCCAAATATAGTGCTCAATGTACATTTAAATATTAATCAGTTTCCATAAAAAATATTTGGGATAATCGTATTTACTTTAAAGGTTCAGTCAAGTTTAGTATACTAAACTTTAATTTTAATCTTCATTCAACTTTTCGCCCAACATTTAATGAACATTTAATTTATTAATTTAACTTTCGCGTTAAATATTTTCTCACATACGGGCATTTTTATATTTACACAATCTTTACTTCCATTAAAAAAAAAAACTTATTTACAGGACGGCTTTTAAATATTTATTGTAAATACAGGGCTCGAACCTTAAAAAGTATTTAAAAATATTAATTATTAATTAATTAATTAATTAATTTTCGAAGAAGTTCTCTGACAAATTTAGAAATCCGTTTGTTTGCAATATTCAATTTTACAAATTTTAATTATTCGTAAATTCTTCAATTAAATATATATTAGAAAATAAAAGCTTCTCAAATAATATAAAAAAATTCAACTAAACTTTTTCACAAAAATTAATTTCAAAATTTAATTATTTCTAAACATTCACGCCATATTGCTTTTAATATTCAATTATTATCTAAAATTTTAACTGAGATTCATTTTTTAATCAATTTTTATTAGAAAATTCTACTAGAATTCAATTATTTAAATACAAAAATAAATAGTTTATTGAATAATTCAATGTTTCTTAAAATTCAATTCTCATAAAGGATTTTATCAACAAAATTTTTAAATACAAATTAAATTCTTCCAACGATTTTTAATAAAAATTTTAAGAATATTTACATTTTCCGAGAAATTCGATTAAAATTGTTTTAAAAATAATTAAAATTCTGTGATGAGTTTTATGATTTATGAAAATAATATTGCTTTCTTAAGAAGAATTTTATTATTTTTTAACATAATTAAATTTCTGCGAAGGATTTAATTACTCTTGAAAATAATTGAATTTCTGCAATAATTTGTAACTTCTCTAAAAATAAAACTTTTTTTTAGAGTTTTTATCTAAAATTTTTCTATAAATCCATTGTTTTTAATAATTTTATGAAAAAGTTTTTTGAGAATTTTCAAATTCATTTGTTTTTAACTGAAATTCATTTTTAAATAAATTTTTATTAGAAAATTGTACTAGAATTCAATTATGTAAATTCAAAAATAGATAATTTATTGAATAATTTAATATTTCTTAAAACTGAATTCTCAAAAAGAATTTTATCAACAAATTTTTAAATAATTGAATTCTTTTGACGAATTTTAATAAAAATTTTAAGAATAATTACATATGAAAATAATTGAGTTCCTAAAAAGAATTTTATTATGTACGAAAATAATTGAATCCCTATAAAAATTTTATTATTTTTGAAAATAATTGAATTCCTGTGAAATTTTTATTTATTTTATGGAAATAATTAGATGTTTGGGTAGAATTCTATTAAAATTTTTTTAAATAATTGAATTGTTTCGAAAAATTTTATTAAAATAGTAGATATTGAAAATCATTTAATTGGAAAAATTTTTTGAAAATAATTGAAATTTTGCAAAGAATTTTATTAAAATTTTTGAAAATAATTGAAATTCGGAGAAGAATTTTATTATTTCTAAAGATATGTAATTGAAATTTTGACTAGAATTAAAAAAAATTTTTGAGCATAATTAAATTTCTGCGAAGAATTTTATTACTTTTAAAAATAATTTAATTTCTGCAATCATTTATAATTTCTCTAAAATTCACCAAATTATGTCGTACAATGTACGAACTTTTCAATCAAATTACGGACTTTACAGACCTTTTTTCAAAAAATTGACTTTTACGGTCTTGAAGCAAATTTACGGACCTAGTTCGAGCCCTGTAAATATGTGCTTGAGGCTTGATTCGAATTTAGATAACAATAATAAAATTATTTTTCACATTTGTACAGAGTAAAAAAAATAATTACCTCATTATTTGCGGTACTCCTCTAGTAGAATTAGGACGCATTGCAGCTATACCTTGTTGAGTTACAGGTCTGTCCATATTATTGTTATTAACAACAAATGAATTTGTTGATAAACTAGTGTTCAAACGATTCGATCCTACTGCGGAATTGAAATGTGGCATCGTATTTGAAAATCGATTTGACATAAGGGATGATGATGAAGATCGTGAATATAAATTTCGATCTGGCGTTTCAGTTTTATTGATATTTGAAAATGTTTTAAAATCATGTATTTCGCTTTTAACTCCTCTACGAGATGTGGGTCTCTCCATTTTTTCTGTGTTGTTTAGTAAAAAATAAAATTTCCTCTTTCTTAAATCTGTCTATTCATATTATCTGAAAATTCGTAAGTAGAAAATTCATGAAATTTCAACTGAGTGGGAACTAAACTTCATTATTTCAGGAGTTACTTATAAAACACATGGAAAGGCAACAATTTATAAAACTAGTATTCATTATAATTTTTAATAAAAAAAAGACTTGTTTTCCAATAATTCAAAATACAATCAAACACCTTACTATTATGATAATAGTGAGGGTGCTTAATTCTATATATATATATATATATATATATATAAAACAAAACAATATTCAATTGTATAAATTAATAAAATTGAGCAGTAATAATTGTTTATAAAACTTACTTTCCTCATCGAGATATTTCTTTATGTCTTAATAATTATAATGAAGCATTAGCATAGAAAACGTCGGGAAGAATGTAAATTTTGTTATTGTATGAAGTCGTTTGTGATGTAAGCGGTTGTCATGGAAACTGACGATTGCCTACACTATGACACCTTTTTTCATTTAAGGGGTTATACTTGTTTGGTATTTTTTTCGATTTTCTTTTATTGGCTTAAAATATACTATAACATTCCTAGAATAATAATCAATAACGTCCTTGCATGAAAACAACTTGAAAATGTTCTTAAAATTATTTTTTCTGGAGAAATTCCGAAGTGTAAAAATAGAAAATTTTAATTTCAAATGCGTTTTTTTTAAACAATGTTTTTTTTATTGGCTTAAACAGGGTTCTTACTAGTGTTGCCGCAAGACGAGACAAGACGAAATTCTTTTCAATCTCGTTTTGTCTTGAAGTCTTGATATTTTTTCAATTAATAAGGCTAGTCTTATTAATTGAAAAAATATCGAAAAAATATTACAGGTTCGGAAAAAAGGAAATTTAATAAAAAAATTAGGAAAACAAAAATTATTCAAGGAATTCAGAGAATTTTATCAAAAATACTAGAATAAGTATTAACTTTCTAGAATTGAAGAAAAAGTTTTAATTTTTTGTGTCAAGCAACCTTTGAAGATATTAAAAACATTTAATTATTTTTAAATTTCCCATGTTCAGCTTACAAACTTTAAAATCAACCACAAATATTAATGCTAAACTTTAAATTTTTTCCGTTTCTAACAATAAAATTAATCTTTACAGATTCTGAAATTGAATTTATTTTAAACTAGCTGCGATACCCGTCTTCGACATGTTTCTTAGTACCTTTATAGTTTTCCATGTTAAGTGTTGATTGGTATTTAACCAATTAGCCCCACAGCACCGAAATTTTCCTAAAAATGTATTAAATATTTACTTGCAATATTCGGCATATTTAACTGAAAAGTTTAGTGAAAATTGTGTAAAGATTTAAATGTCCCGATTAAATAAATGTTTAGTGTGAAAATTTCCTGAACATTTAAATTATATTTTCGCCTAATTATAATTATAATTAGGCGAAGATTTCATTGAAATGTTCAGGAAAGTTTCGCGCTAAACATTTATTTAATCGGGACATTTAAATCTTTACACAACTTTTAATAAACATTGCAATTAAATATTCCGAATATTGCAAGTAAATATGTAATAAAGTTTTAGGAAAATTTCGTTGCTGTGGGGGTAGGCCTGTGCGGTAAACCGGTTTTTTTTCGGTATTACTGGAAACCGGTTTCCGGTTATGTATTCCCGGTTTAAGGTTTTGTTTTTTTAACCGGTTTTTCAAGAAATACCGGTTTTATTTTTTAAACCGGTTTTTCAAGAAATACCGGTTTTATTTTCTAAACCGGTTTTTCAAGAAATACCGGTTTTATTTTTTAAACCGGTTTTTCAAGAAATTCTGAATCTAACCGACTTGCGCATTATGCCTGCGCAAAAGTGACATAACGCCAGAACAGAAACAGATGATTGAGAAAGATTAATCTTTTTTGTTTTTATTAGACATACAGTGATTTTTTTTTACTTAACAGATCAATTAAAAAATGTTGTTTTTGAAAAACAACCTGATTTTTGTAATAAACCAAATTTTCTTAAACCAGTTTTCTTTTTAAATAAAATGGTATTTGAAAAACTCGTATTTAAAAAATGGTTTTTTTAAAAATACCGGTATTCTAAAAAAACCAGTTTTTTAAAAAATACCGGTATTTAAAAAAAAATCGGTTTAGAAAAAAATACCGGTTTTAAAAAAAACCGGTTTAAAAAAAATACCGGTATTTTTTTTAATACCGAAAACCGACTGAAGAACCGGTTTTTTCAAAAACCGAAAACCGGTTATGGATTTTTAATACCGCACAGACCTATGTGGGGGTATATTTAAACTAATTTTCTTGATGATTATTAATATTAATTAATGAAGAAGAAAACAAAATTTTAAGGAAAGTAAAAAGATATTATTTAGAATTTTTTAAAGCGCCCTAAGTGGAAAACCACCATGGCTTAATAACGGCCCAGTACTGGCAAAGTTGGCACCTAGTCTTGGCCGATATTATTGAGACTACTCTTGTAGTGTTAATTACGGTTGGACGTCGGCAGACGTTAATGGCCCAGTATTTACTGCCATTACTTACCCAGTATTGGCAAAATACAAAAACTAATATAAATTATTACATTTTTTCTAAATTAACTAATTAATTTATCATATTTATACGGCTTTTATTTCACTCTGCTACTCTGACGTGAAATCAAGAAAGCATAATGGTTTTATAAGCTACACTATTTATCGATATTGTGATATTATTGGGGCGAGGTACGTCCCAATATTGGCAATTGTATTTTTCCATCATCGCAGATACAAAATTTTTGCCATTAATGTGCCATTACTGAGCCGAGCAACGTCCCAATATTCTGAAACTGAAATTACCAACATTTATTCGACGAAAATTTTTACTTTAGCTAATTGCTTATTTTAATATTAACAGCCCTTTAAGAAAATTACGAAAGGATCACGAATTTCCCGAAATTCCTAGAAATTCAACTAAATTATTGCTTAATAATCAGAAGCCACTTAAAAAAATTGCAAGAGGATTTAAGGCGAGGAAAGTAGTGATTTTTATTTTTTTGTCACGGATTTTCCAAAAATCCCGGAATTCAGATTTATTCAATACTTTCAATTACAACTTGCCATCATAGATAGAAAAGTTTAGTCTAATATTCTGATAATAATGTGCCACTATTGGTCCATGCTAAGTCCCGTTACCAACAATAAGACGTTTTGAATGCCAGTATTGTCCCAGTAGTTTTTGCCAGTTTTCTGCAAACATTCACTGAAAAAATTACATTCTAATTTTAAGAAAATCTTCTTAAATATGCGTCAAGAATATTCCCCACTTAGCTTATGTGGGAAATATTCTTACAATAAGAAGAAAATTAGTATTGTAAGAATATTTCCCACTTAATTTATAAGTGGGGAATACTCTTGGCGCATATTTAAGAAGTTTTTCTTAAAATTAGAATGTAATTTTTTCAGTGTTGACGGGCCCGTTTTGCAGTCTTGGAATTTCGCACTTGGAGCTTATAAAAAACCATTTATTACCTTTTTTCCGAAAAGCACCACGTGGAGGTAACCAATATTGGTTGTTTTTGGCAAGTTTTTAGATCCCGTTCAGAAATTGCCCTGACCCCGCATGAAACAGGGAACCCGACCGGGACCCGACCTGGCAGCTCGTCAAATCGGGCTTTGCGCCATGGCGCCGGCCGGGTTGCCTGTTTCACCCTAGTCTGGACCCGGCCAGGCCCCTGTCAAAATTTCTACACGGGATTATTCTCCAGGAGCTTAGTAAAACTAGAAAAATTCTTGTTAATTAAATTCCATAAAAAATATGAAACATTTTCATTTCAGTATTACTAAATTATCTTGGATCATAATTTGTAAAAACAAAAAACATCTTATTCAAAAGTAATAAGTAGGTAAAATCAAATATAATTAGATATCAATATTTTCATTTTTTATGGGTAAAAATATTTGAACTTTTAAATTTTAGATTTAAATTTCCTAATTTTTTCTATTTTTATGATAAAATTGAAATTAGAATGACCAAAAAAACAAATTAATTAATTAATTAGAAAATATCAATACCAGCTTAAAGCAAGAATTAATTAATATTTAACTTTTAGAGGACTGGTACATTCAATCAATATGAACATATTTTTGTTAACTCGTGCATAATTTTCTTAATTTTAAAAACTGAATATTGAAACAATATTTTTGTCTTAAGGCGCTAGCACAGCTCCTACTGCCTGTAGGCAAATATATATTTATAGATATATTTTAAGGTATATTTAAAGAGCACAATAAATTGGCAAATTATGGTACTGCGAAATTATTTTAATTATAATTTTTAAAATATAATAATAAGCGGAAATATAAAGTTTAAAAGTTCTAGAGATATGCCCACATATCGACTGTTTTTCAGTGTTTGACGAGAAAGTTAACTTGTTTGCATGAGACTTTAACAAATTTTAAACTTTAACGCAAGGTTCAGTCAACTTTCGCATCAAACTCTGAAAAACAGTGGACATTTAAAGAACTACACTATCACAATTGAGAGACCACCCATTTTCAGGCGAATGAAAAACGTTTTAAAACATAAGATTTATTAAAACTAAAATTTTTTTCTGTTCATTTTTTGATAGATGATAAAATTTTGAAAAGAACAAGATATTTTAGAAGTCGTTTGGCCAATAATTCATTTAGATATTTTTTAAAAAATCGTCATTTTCATTGTTTTACAAAAATTTAAATAACTTCTAAAATAATGAACGCTTTTTAATGATCTTAGGCTTATTTTAAAGGTCATTTGTTACACTATAAGAATTACACAGCCACACAAAAAAAAAGTTCTGATCTGGGGGTCTCACTATGTAGACTTTATGGTTTTTTGGTCGCTGAATCCGAATCCGAGGTCCATTTAACCCCATCAGATCAGGATTTTGGCATAACCTCAAAAAACCAATATGACGGACACATTTTTGAAAAGTTTATCGGATTCGCTTGAAATTCATTACTCGGAGGTTTTTGGGGTCGCTGATTACGAATTTAAAGTCTGATTTCAAAAATTCAAAATGGCGGATCCAATATGGCTGACACAGACATATTGGATCCACCATTTTGAATTTTTGAAATCTGACTTCAAATTCGTAATCAGCGACCCCAAAAACCCCAGAGTAACGAATTTCAAGCGAATCCGATGAATTTTTCAAAAACGTGTCCGCCATAGTGGATCCGCCATTTTGAATTTTTGAAATCAGACTTCAAATTCGTAATCAGCGACCCCAAAAACCCCCGAGTAACGAATTTCAAGCGAATTCAATGAACTTTTCAAAAATGTGTCCGCCATATTGGTTTTTTGAGGTTATGTCAAAATCCTGATCTGATGAGGTTAAATGGACCTCGGATTCGGATTCAGCGACCCAAAAAACATAAAGTCTACATAGTGAGACCCCCAGATCAGGGGTCGTCCATATACCACGTGGACACTTTTGGGGGGAGGGGGGGGGGTTAA